AAAAAAATGACCGATCAAACAAAGTTCGAGTCTCGATCACCACTGAACACTTCCAGTACAGTGCATTGAAAATTTTGCTAAATCAGTTAAAATCTTTTATTGGGGGGTCATTTTCAATAATCTTTCAATTTTCAAGTGGAATTTAGAATTGAATCAATTTTCTCTTCTTTGAGCACTCAGTGATATTCAATTTTCATAGATATATTTGTTAATATATGTTTATATGAATGCTATATTTCAATGTTTTTCTGTTGTTGTTACCGTAAGTGTCTCGTATAAATACTATATAAATAATGAGTTATCAATACCCATAGTAGTTCAATTCAGTAATACAAGGATAATACAAGCAAGAACACAGCATAAATATATAAGCTTACAATTTGTATTACAGTGTTGTTTAAATTGGCTTTTTAGTGAAATACTGTTACGTCACATCTGGAGAAAATCTATGGGGGTGGGGTGGAGGCCACTTTGGCAGGGAATAGAGTCTTGGAGTGGGGTCAAATTCACAGAGTCCTGTTTTTGTGGGAGCTGATATTTTGAAAAAAATTTATCCAGCCCCCTCTCCCTGGTAAAAAATGACCAGCCCTGAAATGCTTTCATAAAGCTTTCCTACAATTTAGTAAAACATTTTTAATGTTAGAGTGCAAACAATATAACCGTGAAACTTTAGTAATAGTAAATAGCACAATTTCATGCAAATTCCATTGTTTTCTATTGTTTAATTAGCACTATTTTGTACTATTTAGTAATTAGTGTTTCACGGATATATTTATATTGTTTGCACTCTATTGGTTTGCAATTCCTTTTTTGTCAAATGGAAGATTGAGACCATACAAAGTTTGAATATACCAGATTTTTAAAGTGCTCATGCATAAGCCTTAAAATCCAGGATGCCTTCTTGATTTGAAAGCCCTTATAAAAATTGCCCCTACTTTCTTTTTGCTATCTCTTTGCATAGTAATAAAAGCAATGGCAAAGCAAAGTCAAGACGATGCGAAACACAATAAAATAAAGATAAAATTATTGGTGTCTTAGAGAAATGATCATAAAATCAAATACGACGGGGATTTTTTTATGAACTATTTTTATACGTGCCTTTAAAACAGAATTTAAGTCATGACCTAGAGGAATCGCTCGTGAAACTTTTGACTGCATTTCTTGCTCGACCGTCATGTTTCGAAGTATGCGGTTGAAGACAATTCGAAACTTTAATACGAATTAAAAGCCATATGTCTGGCAAATTAGGTTTCGTAAGTTAAACAATTTTGGTGAATATTAGGCTATTTGCGTCTGTTAGGTAAAACTTAAGCTTATCACAAACCTTACACGTGGGGAGTGTTTTTCTTTAATATTTCTTCGGCGTGTACACCAGTTCGTCCCAGTTTCGTGTTCCTTAATCTCCATCCCAAGAAGGTTAATCGGTCGACATTATCTTTGTGGAATAGTTGCCAAAGTACGAGAATGCATCCCAGAGAAAAAGAGAAATGTCGTCTCTTCTCTTTAGTTATTTACTTCGTCGGATTTTTGTGTTGGAAGTACGTGACTTATATACCTATTCATAAAATAAATTAAATAGTGCGCACGCTGTGATTGGTTGATAGACATATTTGCACGAGGGTATGTAAACACAGTTGTGACGTCACAACTTTCGTATTTTCCCGGTAAAACTTTAAAAATTACAATTTCTTTCGATGAAAAAAATGCCGCAAAAAATATGTTTTGAAGACAAAGTTCCAAATTTTGACTTGTGTCAGGGCCACAGGCATAATTCTATGGTCTCCAGCAGGTCATATCATGATAATCTCTGGTCACCGAGAATTCAGAGAATTCCCTCAGGAGCTACAACACACGTGCTTTTTTCTTAAGATTTCTATTCAATCTTTGAACATTTCTTGGTGTTTGTTTGAAAGTTTTAGAATGATAAA